GAGGTTGTGGGTTTGATCACAGGAAGGGCATCCAGCGAAAAACAATCAAATCTTTCATGAGGTCGCTCGCTGTGGCAACACCCGAAGGAGGGAGCAGCCACTAGAAACTTAATAAAAGCAAATCATTTATTGTAGCGTTGAAACAACTCAAGATTTTATTCATTTACAGATTTTTTCAAATTATGCAACACTTAGAATGTTTTTCCACCACAGTCATAGTTTTTAAATTAAAACACCAATCCTGAAGAATGAGACAGAACTTTATTGATCCTGCGGGAAATTGACGAGTTTGCTACCTCCATGTTTTTCTGCAGAATTTATTAATCAACGTGTTTGGATTAAGCGTTTTGAGATTTTGTCTGATGTTGACAGTATCTCTAAAAAAAAAAAAAAAAAAAAAGTAACATTTGTGCAGTGAAAAGGACATTTTTAAGCTTAACGCACAATTAATAAGATCCTTATTTCCCCCATGCCTGTTTGGATCTAAACACGGTTTGTTTAAGTTGATTTAAAAATAAGAAACTTTACTGTAACGATGTAACTGGGAATTTTCTGCGTCTACCACATTGATTCATAAAGTAAGGGTCACTTTTCCATCTGGTTATTGATGAAAATCGCTTTAAACTGTAAATAATAGTTTCCTCGTTAAGCTTCAGTTAGGCTTCATCCCACTCTGTGATAATGACTTCCTCTTCATGCTTTAAAAAAACCTGTTTGACATTACAGTGCGTCCTCTGCAACACAATACAAACAAGCTCATAAAGAAATATTTGCATAGGAATTACATATGTTAAGAGCAAAATAATAATATTTTTTATTTTTTAAAAAGCACATATTTTAACTTCTATTCTCTAAAGAACTCTGTTTCCCTTCATGTACGATCAGAAGTGCAGGTCTGCAGACCGTTAGGAGCTGCAGATGTCGTCCAACAAGAGCGCACAACTGAACAAAATGGCAACCATCATTTAAAAAAAAAAAAAGATCTGTTTCTATGCACATTTGCACAACTTTGCATGGACAAGCGTCACCTCAGAGCCTGGGAAAATGACTCTGTAAGAAGTTAAAGATGAAACAGGATACAGGAAGCCGGCTGAACCATTTAAAATAAATACAAACATAGTTGCACCAGTACGCAAAGCATTTAGCTTTGAAGACCAGATGAGCACGTTCCGAGACAGCCTTGACAGTGCAAAGGTCACCACATAGGTCAAGTCTTATGAATATCTGAAGAACAATCATCGGTCTGATGAGAACAAACTTCTTGTGTTTGACTTGAACTCATCCATGTGCACTTCAATTAACGCACAATTAAAAAGACAAAGCAAACGGAAGGCAGTGCGGCTGCTGAATAAAAGCTGTTGAGAACAAGATATTTAAAGGTGGCACCATTATTATATACTAAAATACTGTTTGACACAACTCCAAGTCTGTACAAGCACTGAACCCGGTGAACTTCCTGTGTTGATGTTGTGCCAGAAAAAAAATACCTCGGGGGTTTTATTTAAAAAAAGAGAGCAGTTAGAAAAACATGTCTAAGAATGGCACATCTCTGAATTTCAAATAATAAAAAAAAACAATCATCCAAGATCAGAATAACTGAATAAACATATAAAAAAACGGTTCTTACAACAATATTAATATTCAGAGCTGCTTTGAATAAGTATTTATTTCCACTGATACACTGAACACATTCAGCAGAAAAGTGTTCAGTCTATTTCTGTTTTTACTGATGCTGTAAAAATGACAGACTTCAGTACATAATGTACCTGCAGCAGTTTATTTTTGACAAATAACTGCGTGTTGAATGGCTTTGACAAAAGCTCCCAGATGTCGACAGCTCGTGTGAAAAACGTGACCCGTTTATTTGAGCTGCAGGCCAATATGGTAGTACTATACGCTGAATATTTTAACAGAACATGTCAGCAAAAAAAAAAGAATTGTGGTCAGTGTTTTGTCATACATGGAAGTTTTGAAACTCTAAACACTTATTTAGGAAATCAAAAATCCAACAGTGCCTTTTTATCTCCAGTTTGAATGCACAAGTGGCCAAACAAATAAATGCACTATATACCAGGGCTGTTCAACTAAACTGCTCAGAGGGCCACAGTTTCTGAAAACCAGCAGCTCAGGGGCCGGGCATCCAGATGTTAAAGTCATTCTGTAAATAAACCAAGTAATACCAAGTATTATTGATCCGTTACCTTTTAAATTAGTTTTATTGCATTGAACCATAAATGCAATAAACAGAGCCCAAAACCCAGAACGCAAACAACAAAATTATTTAAAGAACTCATTGGTGGGCCGGACTGAAGTCACCCATGGGCCGGAAATGGCCCGCAGGCCGCCAGTTGAATAGCCCTGCTATATGCTATGCCATGTCTCCCATTCCTCTGTAAACAAATATTGGTATAAGGTCCTTCAAGCATTTTAGTAACAGCATATTCAGTGTAAAATATACAAACTTAAAGTGGAACTATAAAAAGCTGCCTCTAGTTCTAAATGTGCAGCTTGTGGTCCAGGTCTGGGATCAGGTAAATGCCTCAGTGAACCGTCACTTGACAAAAATAACCCTAAAGTTGCAGCAAGCTGTGGATGAACCCTCAGCTGACACACAGACGGTGTTTGTGTCTCAGAGGGTGTGGCTGCGTGCAATTCTTCTAGTGACAATGCTGATGTAGATAAAGGGCAAAAAAAGAAATGTTTTTACGAAATGAGTACTTCTGTGAGCCGAGAGACACGTGACCTCAGCATGGCCTGCTGTAGTCTTTCCTGCAGTGTTCGACAGAATCGTGAATATGCCTTGCACATGGTAAAAAAACAAATCTGACCATATTTATGTAACAACTCACAAGCTTTGACCGCGTCAGATCCTCTTGGAAAAAAACAACAAAAAAAAACGCACAAATGAACCACAAGTATGGAGATGCAGTCATGGTTCACTTGTGTTTCTCAAGTGTGAAATTAGACAACTGTAAGAAATATTTTCAAAATGTCTTTTTTAACTCTAAAGATTAAACATTCTCAGTCAAGTAAAACAAGCCATCTCCTCTGGTACCCCACAAAAAGACCCAAACTTTGTTTTGCGTCACTGCTGGCGATGATATAATATGAAAAATGTGTGATTAATGTTTACATTATTGTCTTGGAGAGCCATAAAAAAAATAAATAAATAAAATAAAAAAATCAAGCAGGCATTCTTTTGTTCCAAAAAAACCCTGAAAATAAACCGGTTAATATCAGGAAAGTTATGTAAAGTCCAAAAAAAGGCCAAGTAAACAAACAATCTAGTAAACCAAAGAGAGATTCCATAACTCTTGACAGTTAAATTTGTTTTGTCTTTACAGCAGATTTCTGCTGGTATAAAGATTTATAAATTCCTTAAATTAAGTTAATTAAAGCAATCGTATTTAGAAGCTAAAACTAAATCATTAGCAGCAAAAACAATTGTGCTTTTTAAATTTACTATTATGTTTGGATTTGAACAAGACGGTGGTGTGCCTAGTTAATTCATGTTCACACATGGAGATGGAAAAAAATACAGAAACTTCTTCAAAAGCAGATTATTTGCTTTGAAAAATGAAAGTTTAGCAGATTAAATAGCAAAAACAAAGACTTTTATTCTCTAATCTGTACTACAATCAATTCAGCTCTGGCTGAGTCCGTTTCTATTTTCTGGCTTCACAGTTTTAAACACCGATGTGTTTCAGTAGCTTTGTCTAATAAAGTTTGTACAAAATATAAAACCTTACTCAGTTTACAGACAAAAAAATAATAAGAATCAGATTTGTTAACATGGCCTCTAACCAGATAACAGAATTTAGTTATCGGGTTTTCTTGGTACTGTAGTGGTACATAATTATTTTATTACTCTTTAACTAATCAACACAAATCTAACCTGCAGTTACTTTAAAAAAAAAGTTACGCTCAGATTTGACTTGACTTTTAGAAAATTTGCTGGCTATTTTTTTTAATACTTGTGCGAGACAATTGTCACTAAAACTGACTTTAAAAACTCCAAAAATCTTCCAAGACTTATAAACACCACTTGGGAATGCACGATATTGGATTTTTGGCCGATATGCTAAAACTTATTTGTCCGATAACCGATACCAATACAGATATTTTTTCTCTAGACCTACTTACAGAGACTACATGGCTTTCTCTGCTGTGGAATTAAAATACATTATTCTGCATGGTCTTTGTCAACTTGGCCTGTTATCAATTACAAATGCCAAAAAGGGGCTGAAAATGATGTAACACTAGACAAATATATATATATATATATATATATATATATATATATATATATATATATATAAAAAAACAGCGCCTTTTGTATCAGTGAGCTATTTTGATGGAATGGGCGATGTCCAATATTTTACTTTATCGCTAATACCATGCTGATAATAATAATCGTGCATCCCTAAATGCCAAATATATCCAGTAAAATATCAATTGTATTATTTCAACTTTATTTATGTATCAAACAGAGTCATATCCATTGCTTTAAATCACTGCTGGTAGCCATTTTCCAACATATTAAATTGTGTTGCTGATGAAATCCTGTCAGTTGGTCAGTAAATAGACTGTTGGCAGAGCACCATAAAGTACCACAGTAATTTACTGCGTTACTATGGAGATCTAACCCAGACTGCTGAGTAAACATAAAAGGAGGCTGGAGAACCCACTGACATGACTTTCTGTTACAGGTTAGGGTTCACAGCTCATCAGTCCAAACGTCTGAAAACATCATCATACCTGAAGAAGGAGTGGACCCGAAAGGTTACTGACAAAATAAAAGGTTCGATTACTTGATCGGTTTGTCTTCAAAATGCAACGACCCAGAACAAAACCCACGAGCAAACTCCTGAAAAGCTTCAAAAAGCCTCTGGAAAGGGCTGTTCGATCTCAGGTGCCTTGCCTGGTTTCAAGTTCTGCAAAACTTTGGTTAAAAAGTTGTAAAAGTTAAAGAATAAATAAACCAGAAGGTGACGTTGGCTTCGGTGTGTGCCTTTGTGCAAAAACGGTGTTCTCCCTCTTTAGGTCTTCCTCGCAGCTATAACTTCCCTGATCGAGGTGGGGACCAAACTTCTTCCTGAGAGTCAGAATCTTCCAGTCCAAAACTCTCCCTCACAGATATTTCAGCATCTCCGGCACGTGAATCGGCTCCGTTGATGTTGCCCAAAGGTATGTAGGAATAATCCTGACGCCGAGAGAAGCGGGACGCTCCTGAGCTGCGACACAACTGAACGACGTGAACGATCAGGCTAAAAATCAGAAGCGCAGCCAGGACTACAGCGATGATCAGCCACGATCGCCTGAGGAAAAGAAGAGTTCAAATCAGTTTGACAACACGGCACCTTGGTAAGTGAAACTAATAAAGAGAATGATGGATTTTTTTTTTTTTAAAGAAAGGAACTGTACTTAAAGGTTTTAAGAAAATATCTTACTGAGCTGCAGCTGCAGCTGCTGATAACTAATCGGAGAACAGCATTCTTACGAGTCTCCAGAGTGGCTTGTGATGCGTCAAAGAGACTCTCAGTTTTGTCACTTCAATTACGAACAAGTTCAAAAACTTTGGGTGACAAATTTTCTTTCCAAATAGTGACAAAACTGTGATGGGCACCTACAACCCATCAAAGAACACTTAAGTTGTATTGACGCCTGAAAGAAAGAGAGCTCTCCTTTGACAAAATTCATGCCCAGAACTAAAAACTGTGATTTGACTTTCGGCTGCTCCCTTCTTCAGGGGTCGCCACAGCGAACTAAGTCGCACGAAAACTTGACATTTATTTTTACGCCGGATGTCCTTCCTGATGCAACCACAAATCCCCGAGCTCCGTGTGGAGCAGGTATCTAGGGCGCCCGGGGGAGCAGATAGTGGGGGTTAAAGGCCTTGCTCAAGGGCCCAGAGCGGGGCAATTGAGGGTGGAGGCAGGTGTGGGTGCTTTGCCTATCCCACTGGGACTTAAGGTCCTGATTTCTTTGTAACAACTGTCTAATTCAGGGGTGGTTCTCGGTAGGGATGCACCGATCCACTTTTTTCACTTACGATCCGATACCTGGGTTACCGTATGGGCCGATACCGATCCGATCTGGTCCAGATAAACGGTGCTGAATTACCAAAAATGGCTAAATCATGTCATCTGGACCCGTTTCTGAAACAGGTCCAGATGACATGATTTAGCCAGTTTTGTTGTCTACCTGGATGATTGAACTTACAAACCCAGTGCTGAATTAACTTAGAAAGAAAAGACCTGCAGAAAGAAAATCTTTGCAGAAAGTGGTGAAGGCTGCACAGAAGACTGTTGGAGTCAGCCTCCCCACCATCACAGACATTTACACCTCCAGATGCAGGAAGAGAGACACCTGCATCATGAAGGACCCCACTCAGCCAGCACACACACTTTTTGCCCCGCTCCCCTCAGGAAGGAGGTTGAGGAGATTAAGTGTAGAACCACTAGACTGAGGAACAGCTTCTACCCTGAGGCTGCTAGACTCATGAATCTCTAACCAGGATAATCACTGTGAAAAAAAATCACATCATGTTGCTGCTGATCTGTTTCAATGTTGATGTGTTCATGCGTGCTCATCTGCTCACACAGACTCATGTTCATGTTTGTGCTGATGTTCAACGTGATGTTTTTATGCTATTAGTGCTTAGTGCTTAGTTAGTTGATGTTTTTCTTAGCTCATATCTTAGATGTTATCATTGTTTTTCTTTTACATTTTATTGGTGGATATAACTGGGACCCTGTGCACATGATTTCGTTCCACCACATGTACCACATGAGGTCCGAATGACAATAAAGAATCTCTGACTCTGATGTACTGAATTGCAAATTTATTGAAAACTCTGCACCATAACAGCACACTTAAACACCAAGAGCTTCACAAGCTTGGTTAGACATGTAAGAACAACACAACATCAATTTGTTCAGTCAGTACGCTAGCACATGACATCAGTCAGAGCACAAAGCATAGAATTAGAGTGAACAGATCTGCCCAGTCCTGGATCAGTCACATTGTCACTGATACCCGATCCAGAAGTTTTTCGATATCGGTACAGAGAGCGATGTTGGTATCGGAGCATCTCTAGTTCTTGGGAGTCTTTCCTGCATGTTTTAGAACGTGGGAGCAGGGAAACAAGTAAAACATGCAGGGCAGTGGCCCTCGAGGACCAGGATTGGACAACCCTGGTCTAATTGCTTCATCATGAATGAGTTAGTGCTGAAAGCTGAAAATAATGGGTAAGTGTTGTAGCTGAAACGCTGAGACAAGAAAGCACAGCATGGTGGCTTATGTAAAGATTAAATGCTAAATAAAAATCCCAGGACATTGAGACAGTTCTGAACAGCGGATTAAAGACGAGTGTAAACTTTTTTTTACAGTTCCATGTTTATCAAGAACAGTCGTCACACAAGGAGGCCTGCCTTTACTGGAGCTGCTGTGTGAGGAAAAAAGGCAGCTTGACCTGGCATCGAACACATGCCTTCAAATCCAAAACAACATTGGATATACTTTTTATTTATTTTCACACTGACACACTGTGCTCTAAAGTTAAACTTTTAGGTCACACTAAAAGAAAATATTTGTTTAAATGGATAAAGGTCAAACAGTTTGATGAACCCATTTAGCTGGCAGATGACATTTTATACTTTATAACCTTCAGAAATACGTTCACGTAAGGCAAATGTTACCAATACGTTGCCGTTTCTTTTCCTGTCTTTATTTTTAAATGACTGTTTTGTTCCTACACATCCATCAAGAAAGGACAACAAGGATGAAAGGTCAGAGGTGAAAATGAGACATGTGATCACTTACTCAGTCAAATAAAGTGTCTCTCTGTTAGCCTCTTCCTCTCGTCTCCAGGATGTAAATATTTGTCTGGCCAGACAGTGTCCAGCTGTAGAGAAAGGAAGAATAAGAGAATAAACAATTACCTCCAAAATAATTTTATCCACCTTTACCTTTAGTTAATCTGTCTTTTACATATTCACACTGTAAATACATTTAAACTGTTTTGTTTTGTACAGGAGCAAACTATCAGCCTTTGTCATTATTTATCCTTTTATGCAAAAAAAAAAAAAAAAATATATATATATTTTTTTTAAAGATTAAAAGAAATACTTAAGAAAATCTAAATGCAAAGTTATAAACCACTGCGATGACAGAAATAAATATATCTACTGCGTAAAGTATCCAGCGAGACGTATCAAACAGGTTTTTGTAATCCGTCATCGTTCCTGGATTGGAACTCACAGTTCGTGTTTCATCAAAAAGTTACTTTTAAAAGTACACCCAGTTACATGTTTTTAGCAGATACTATTTACAGTGCACTCGTGTATAACTAGCCGCTATCAAGTAAAATACTTAAAACATACTTTTTAAAAATGTCAATGTTTTATATTTGTTTGAAAGAAATAACCTTATTTTTAATTATGAGTTGCACTGATCTGTTTGTTTTATGTTTACGTGTATCCAAGTTGGTCTGAATTATAGATTTTAAGCAGTTGCATTTAATCTCAAGTATGCATTTGTATTCTTCTTTTCTGTCTTCGTCCTGGTTTATGTCCACTTTTCTAAAAAGGTCTCAATCAGAGATTAACAAAGAGAATTGTCTTTACTTCAAACAGTCATTTAAAATCCTCATCAGGGCACATATAAAACACTTTGTTAAAAAAATTGAAATGTACACATTTAGCGTAAACTAATTAAATCCAGCTTTGCCGTTTGGCGACCCAAACAAGAACAAATGAGAAAAATAAATAACATTTATTAATTTCTTTCATCAACCATGTACTTGTGGTTTCTGTGTCTGAGAATGTTAAAGTTGAAAAACATGCTTTTACCCGTTTGTAAGGTGTAATTGGTCTCTCCTCCCAAAGTGGTGTTACAGCTTCCTGTCTGCGGGTCACACGGACACGAGTCGTCACATTGGCACTCCTGAGCGCAGGACAGACCGAACCAACCCAGAGGACACACTGATGAAAAGAAAGGAGAGAAACAAATTTTAGTAACAAAATATTTTGCTGATTTTATCATGAATATATAGAAACAACAGAGAAATAACGGCTAAATGATTAAATACGAAAGTTAAACGTAGGATTTTGAAGATATTTCAAACAATAAGGGTGCTTGCGTTTTAACTTTAATATTTTATTTCAACTTCCAGCATATTATTTTAATGTACAGAACATTCACTTGCTGCCCCGTACATCCGACACCCTGCAGGTGTAATATTCAGCAGTTTACACTTCAGCTGTCAAAGTTGTTATTTTATGGTTAAGACAACCAGGGTTATACAAATTAACACTATAAAATAGCAGCAGGTGAGACGAGAGAGGAGAATGAATTTTAAATCACTATAAAACATGTTTGCTGGAAAACAACTCTGCGTGTTCGAAGCCTTTTTAAAAACAGCAGGACTCTTGTCTCCTGCTGAAGGTTGTCAGGATAAAAATTTGGTGTGAAGCGAGAGGCCCAACAGTCACAGTGTAACACAGCTGTACCTTGTTTGCACGTTTCACCATGGAAACCAGGAGGGCAGGTGCAACGCCCGTGGACAGGGTCACAGGAACCGCCGTTAGCGCAGGAGCATGTTTGGTTGCAGCCGTCGCCATAGTAACCAGGGAGGCACTCTGAAGAAGAAACAAAGCATGTCATGAATAAAAACATTTAATTTTTGTGACCGACTTGCATTAAAAAACAAACAAAACCGCAGGCTATGCTAACTAAACAGCACCTGAATATCAGCCTCATATAATACTGAACAACTTTTTTGTCAAAAAATAAATAAACTAAGAAAAATATATCAAGAATTTATTGTAGATTTGCCTAAATTCATAAATTAATAGCCTGTAGGTCAGAGGTGCCCACACTTTTTCAGCATGCAAGCTATTTTTAAAATAAAGTCAAAGTGATCTACCTACTATAAAGACCTTGCTTACACAAGAACAACCTCTGGAAACAGTGTTTTATTAGTGGGTAATGAACAAAAACTAGCAGATTTACATGAAAACGCTGTAGTTTCCATGTTAGTTGGGTTGCCAGATAAATTAAACTACAGTACTGTGGCTTTAAAATTATAGTATTTTGACCTAAACTGTCATATGTGTTGTGTAAGCATGTTATAAGATGAGGTGTGCGTTGTGTTTGTTGATATGTGCACAGAAAAGGAGCGGTAAGTAAGACATTTCAAATTTATCTGGCAACCCTGGCAGGGCTCAGCTGCATTCATTGCACATGCAGCGTCTGTATCACAGTTACATCCAAACTAGTGAACACTAACATCTCTTTGGGACTTGATTTTATTAGTTTTGCTCCTACAAGCTGAAAAAGGGTGAGTAACATTAAAAACATTCTGCTCTCTGTCATTTATTATAACTGTTGTTAGTGCAGAAAACTTTGGACTGCAGCCGCCTGTAGTGCACATGTGCGACTTCACTAGCGGAGCATTTTACACCTCCATGGAGGGTTCCCCTAAAAATGTCCACTCGGAGACCTGGATTCAGAAACCTTCGGTTTCAGAGAGAACGAGGGCTGTTGTCTATAAATGAACGGCCGAACGTTTCACGTCAAATTAACGGGGTCTCAGACTGGCTGCCCTGTCTGTCAATCAAGTAACAAGTTTCATAGTGAGTATGGATGAAAGGCTGACGTCTATTGTTTTAATGCCACGCGATCTACGCGCAACACATTTGCGATCGACCAGTAGATCACGATCGATGTATTGGGCACCTTTGCTGTAGGTACATAAAATCGTCATTGCACTAACTTTTATTTTCCTTTTTCTATCAATTTGTGACAAGATTCTTTAAGCATGCAACTACAGGTTACAAAAAATAAATAAATAAAAAGCGAGTGCTTCACAAGACTAATTAGAGACGAGGAAAAATGGAGACCTTTAGTGTTTAGGCTCATCTCAGTTGCTTAGATTTTTTTTTCTTACAATTTGATTTAAAACCATTGTTTATAAGGAGTAATTTTACCTGTCACAAAATGATTAACTCCAATAAATATGTGTTCAAAGAAGAAACTACTCTTTCATTTGTAAAACTTTCTGTATAGAAGTTAACAAAAAAAAAAAATATCTCAACTGGAATAATTGATTTGAGACTTAATATGGTCAGTAATTAGCTGGTATGAATAGCAACTCAGCCTTAAGTGTGAGTCAGGATTTAGTGAGAATTAATGAGATTCTTCACATGAATTATTAAAAAAAAACTGACATGCTTGGATGCATGTAGGCATGCGTCTACTGTACAGTCCAGTTTATGCAACAATATGATGCTTGTTCTTTACCTTGACTGCAGTTCTTCCCCCTCCATCCAGCATCACATATACATCCATCTGAAACCCACAAAAGTCAAATGAAACGAGTAAAACACATAATATAAACTGAACAGGACGATGTGAGGAAGAACTGTGTCTGCACACAAAAAAGACTGTAAAGGCGGCATCATTAACTCTTTCCATTTAAGCAACTTGAACATGTTATTAAAATGCAAACCAAGCAAGGTGACAGCTGCAGAGACTTTCACAGGTTTTCAGTTGTGATTTTCAGAGCGACTTTATTAGATGCGTTTCCTGAATGACAGTGAGGTGTCATTTTCATAATATATTAAATATAAAGTTGATTTTGTCGACCTTCATTTCATGACTCATTTGTCAACAGAGTCCAAGATTTATATTTTGCATTTTACCGTTGGGAGTTTTCCTCAACGTTGTCCACACCTACCCTCAGAGCAGACACCATGAGATCCGCAGGCGGGGGGTTGACAGAAAAGAGAGTCACAGGCGACCCCCCGCCAGCCCTTCTGACACAGACACTTTCCGTTCACACATTGGCCGTGCCCGCTGCAGTTTGATGGCTGGCATCGTCGCTTATGAACACAGAGAACAGTAGAGACTTCTCGGCTACAGCGCCACTTGCTGTCTGATTTGCTGGGAGGGGGAAACAAAGGGGTGAAAGGTGACAATAAAAAAAACATTAACCATATATAAAAGCAATCAAACAAAACACCAGAATGTCGTGATACAGAACAATAACGTTGCATGAGGGATTTAGTTGCTCACCAGTGATCAGATGGGTAGCTGGCCAATGAGCCATTAACCACGAATGTGGAAGACCCGCCTCCATCCAAATTAATGGCATTGACCAATCTGTTCTTTTTCAGAAACTCCGCCAACTCCCAAAGATTCATACTGTGGAGGCAGAACATGAAAACGTGACAGCAGTTTAGAAAAGAGTTACGAGAGAGCACAGAGCCCCCACCAAACACTGCTGTGATCACAGAGAGAGCACAGAGCCCCCACCAAACACCGCTGTGATCACAGACAAGTTAAAACAGTTTTATGGTTGTTAAAGCTGTTAATGTTGTCACTATAGGGCGGCACAGTGGCTCAGTTGGTATAACTGTTGACTCTCAGAGAGGTCACAGGATCGAATCCTGACTGGGGCCTTTCTGGGTGGAGTTTGCATGTTCTCGCATGCATGCGTGAGTTACCTCCGGGTACTCCGGTTTCCTCCCACAGACCAAAAACATGCATGTTAGACTGACTGATAACTCTAAATTGTCCCTAGGTGTGAGTGAGAGAGAATGGTTGTTTGTCTCATTTGTCTCTATGTGGCCCTGTGATGGACTGGAGACCTGATGGATGGATTGATGTTGCCATTATAACCTTGTTCATTAGGAATATTAACAATTATTTAATACTTAAACCATAGCAGTGTTTCCACTTTCATTACACAAGCAAGGTGCCCCTCCCGGTCAACAGAACCGAGCGCCCTGCCTACCGACCCCCTGTCAACAAATACCAGCACTGATGTAGTGCTCGCTACGATGACATGCTAGCTAAAAAGCTATGACTATGGAGGTAGCGCTCCGTCGCCCTCATGCTGAGCCGTATCAAACCCCATCCCGCGTTCGAAAACTGACGGTACAAACAGAGCTACACAGACGTGTCTTCGTCTCCCCCCCCAACCCCACCGTCGACAAAGATCACAGAAGATACGAGTGCCCTGCCAACTAGGGGAAACACTGCATAGTCACAGCAGTTGCCTCTGTTTAATTGTGAATTAAGATGAAAACTTGGTGAGCCCTTGGTAAAGATGACTCACTGGTCTTAAGTCCCTGCTGCTTCTTCAAAACAAGTGTAAATAGTTCACTATCTACAGCAGCTAAGACACTTACTACTCATAAGTAGTAAATAACTTAAAATAACTATCCTTCAAAGTAATCAACAACATCTGAGTTGAGTAGATCTACTTTGTGAGAATCAAGTCACTCCAGCAGCTGCCAATACCTGGCAACTTAAAGGTCCAAGTTATTTTCTACGAGACAGAAGGTCGGTCACACTCTTGAGTTCGACCCGACTTCTACATGCTTTATTGACTAGCTGATGTACTGATATTGACAGAAGATACGCAGAAGGCAGCTGATATGCTCAGTCATGTCATAGTGTGGGGCTATTCATAGTCGGATCATTAACAACGACTCATTCATCTCTCGAGTCGCTGCAGGATATCAGGGACATTATTCAAGACTAAAAGGAAAGTCAGATCAATACAATTGATTGGTGGAATTATCTTAAGTGGACTGAGGCGACAAGCCTTCGATATTAGTTCATCCAGTGAAACTGGTCTTTCAGGGGTTAAAATTAGCCTAACCTGCATCTGTTTACCACATTCAGGTCCAACAGCATCAAATACAAATCAAAAATTCATGTTTAGCATCTACTGAACATTTTATTTTCCCAGCAGTGAATAAAAAGGGGTTTGTGGAAACACAGTTTTATTTAATTACTAGTTTTTTTTTATTATCTTTAAACAAAGTCCAAACAAGATTAAAAGCACAAACAACTGGACTTCTGTAGCTGAAGACGTTTCTCTTCTCATCCGAGGAGCTTTCTCACTTCAAAGAAACAAGGAGTGTGGGATTTAGACAAAGATAACGTTTACCTCGTCACAACAGAATTTCTAAAAGCAAACACCCACATTAAACAGAACTGTGTGTTAAGATAAATACGCCCGAGTTTCTGTTTTACCAAGTATTCTGTTGTGCATGTGCAAAAGCAGTCTTTTTCAGTCTGTTCTGTGTTTCAGCAGTGACGTGACTGTGTGGCGTCCTGAAAGGGAGTAAAGCTGGAATGAGATGCTTAGTTGGAGAAAAGAATAAAGTAGAATTATTTTTTTAATTTCAGAAGCCGACATGTAAAAAAAAACAACAGGTGTTTAATCAATTTAGAACTAGGTTATATAGACAAATGCCATTTATTGAAAAATTAAAACCATTTAGAAAACTGGTTAAAAAAAAGGATCAAAAACTTTACACGTTTATGTAACACGACATGTCAAAACTGCATGCGGCTTGTTTTGTTTGTCCGGCTTTGGCTTGTTATCTTATCGCACTGTGTATCTGCTGCTTCTGCTCTCCCTACAGTTAAGCTTGACATCTCAATGTGCAATAAATAAAAAACCTCTGGGATCAACTAAATATTTCTGACTAGTCACATGTTTAGAAAAGAGAAATCAGTCTTGAGCACGATTGTTTTCTTACCCTCTTATTCCCGTTTGTCCATCAATTTGGAACAAGATCAGATTTCCATCTGCATCGTGTCCCACTGCAGTTCTGGCTGACACCACGTTTGCAAAATACTGCAATGATCCTGTAAAATATCAATAAAATGACCAGTTTTAGGGAGTATTATTGGAAAAAACGCCCCAACAAACTAGACTACAAGTAGTGGCATCTCATTGAACTGCTACTATTGTTTACTAGTGGGTTACTCAAAATTGAAAAAAAAAAATAAAATAGTTAATTTTCCACTACAGTCTCACTAAACAGTTTGTGACCAAATGACAAGTAAACCATGCAGCTGTTTGAACGGCAGATTTTTGAAAACCATGGCCTAATGTATTTTGGAGTACACAGCTTGCAAAACTGCATTCTTGGCCAGCCATGCACGTTATTGTGTCCACCTCTGCCCACATCAGCTCATTTTGTACCCAGCTTGGCAGCCGCCCACATGTTTTTAATTTGATCTACTGGAGTACACTTTTCAAATGAGCACATGCAGATTGGGACCAGTTTTTCAATCGTTATTCATCATCAACATGGTTTTTAGATGGACATTTGCCTCAAATGTTTCCCGTCAGAGCAGAGCACTGTATTTTGCGCTCTGGAGACAGGTTGGAGATGCCCAGGACAACTCGTGTAAAAGTTGGAGACGCCACAAATAACGATAGAAAAGTTGTTGCACAAATTTTTCCAACGTGTTCAAACCTCAAGTGACAGGACCGTACCTCTGCGACTCACGTGAGAAAGTCCAGAACCACTGCAAACATTATGAGACACTCTGGAGGCTCCCTGACTAATATTTACCAAGACGTTGCAGCTCAGTGAAATACTTGATTAAAACAACGGTTCTCTCACCTTCTTTCTATGTTAATAAATCAATATTACAAAAACAATACAAAAATACATTTTAATGTGATTTAATTAGTCATAATTAATAATAATAGGAATAATAGAATAATATAGTTGAAGTGACCAGAATCACCTAGACCTAATATGTTCTCATCTTAATGAGATGTTTGAAATATTCTAAATAGAACATATACAGTTTATTTCCATTATCAATAGTCCCTTTCAAGGCAGGACCTTCTTGTTGTTACACATTCATGTTCCTTTTTATATGTACAAAAGCAAACAGCGAGTGGTGGATGTGATATGGCACTGATACATAGCTGAGCTACAAGTGACCAGACTCTGGTCACTGTGTAGTTTTGATGCCGTTGGACTTGACTGCTGCCTTCGACACAGTGGATCATCAGATCCCCCTGTCTCGTCTGGAGAACTGGGTGGGCATTCAGGGTCCTGCTCTACAGTGGTTTAGATCTTATTTAACACAGAGAAGCTTCTGTTTGCGTATAGGTGCTGTGGAGTCCTCTGTAGCACCTCAAACATGTGGAGTACCTCAGGGATCTATTCTTGGCCCCCTTCTGTTTTCCCTTTATTTGCTCCCTCTGGGATATTCTCTCTGGAAACATGGCATTACTTTCATTTACAGTATATGCTGATGACAGCCAAATTTATGTGCCATTAAAACAAGATAAACAGTACTCTGTGAACCAGCTCCTGGAATATATGGCAGGAGTCAGAGCATAGATGTCACAGAACTTTTTTTTTTTACATTTTAAAGTGAAAAAGACCAAGGTCTTGTTGTTTAAGCCCAGTGATGGTTCCAAAGTCCATGCTAATCTGGGTCCTTTAACCAAACATCTGACTGAGACAGCAACTAACCTGGGTGTGAGGCTGGACAATGATTTTAAACTTGATGCACAGATTAAATCAGTGGTCAAGTCCAGCTTTTATCACTTGAGACAACTGGCCAAGGTCAAACCATTTCTGTCACATCATTTTGAGATTTTAATATATGCTTTCATTACAACTCATCTGGACTAGTGTAATTCACTTTATGTTGGTCTGAGCCAGTCATTACCGACTCGACTTCAGCTTGTTCAGAATGCTGCTGCTGCCTTTTAACTGGTACCAGAAAACGAGAGCACACCACCCGTTTTGGAATCACTGCATTGGTTCCCAGTTCATTTCCAGATTAATTTATTTGTTTTCAAAAAGTCTTCATGGTCTCACAGTATCTGTCCGACCTGCTCCAGCTGTACGTTCCCTTGCGCACTCTCAGGTCAGCAGATCAGCTGCTGTTGGTTGTCCCAAAGTCTAACAGGAGGCTGAGAGGTGACCGAGCGTTCTCAGTCGCTGCCTCTAAACTGTGGGATGAGCTGCCTTTACACATCAGACAAGCTGACTCACTTCCTGTTTTTAAATCTTCTCTGAATACACATTTTTTTCTCTCTTTGGCTTTTAACGCAGCTTGAAATGTGGTTTTTACAGTTTTTAAGTTATTTGTTTTATTGTTTTTACTGTTTGATGATTTGGCAGTTCATAAATTTTACAGTATCTGTTGATTTTCTGGTTTTTACGCTTGTATGTGTTGGTGTGGTGGCCAATGGTGTTGTTTTTAAAGTGCTTTATAAATAAAGTTATATTGTATTGTAAGTGAAGTAGTTAGGAGGCTGCATGCCACATTTTCCAGAAAGAGCAGCTCTAATGAAAATATATTGTTACTCACTAAAACCTGCTGAATCAGATTTTAGATTGGTCTTTGCCACTTACCAAAGAGTAGAGGCTTAACAAAGAGAGTATTTATATCTGTAAAAATAAATATACATAGAATTGTTTTGTCAAAATGAAAGATTTACTAAAATGACAAAAAATGTATTCCCTTGCTCGCTGATGCACATTGTATTTATGCATAAATCTCGTTTTATGTAACAAGCAGAGATAAATCTATGTGGAGAAAAAAATCATCTTCATGTTTGTGGTTGTGCCTTTAAGGGCCGATGCTGTTCAGAAATCAATGTGAGCTGTGGGAGGGCCACACACCATCTCTTGACACTGTTAATCAAACACGACAGTGTTGTGTTTTGGTGGAGCGGTGTGTTTACTTCAGGTCATGACGAGTTTCTGTTATACAAACACTGAAGGGCACCAGGCAAGATGCTAAACTGTTTATTTACTTTTATGAGCTGATTCAAAAGATGTCACCCAGCTGAGCTGAGATCAGGGTCACAGATTCTGAGCCGACAGGAAAATATTCAAAAAAGAACAGTCTTGCTAAAATATCTGATGAAGCTTGCAATTATTGACAGAACAAAATCCTTCAGATGCGTCTGAAAGAAAACTGGTTTCAGCTTGTTGCCTCCTGATAACTGTGTGCAGCAGGTCTGTCACGATAACAAATTTTGCTGGACGATTAATTGTCTCAGAAATTATTGTGATAAACGATAATATTGTTTGAAATTTCATATTAGTAATTATTGTCAAATTTAAGAAGAAATGTTAAACTTATTTTGAGTGTAGTATCTTTTTGCGACCACCGGATGGCAGTATGAACCAAAGGATGGATAGCGAGGGAGCGAGCAGCGTGACTAAGAAAAATGGGAGGGAGGCCCCTTGACGTGACATGGGCTGTCTCTCCCTTTTTATCGGTTCTCAAAATGGCACACGCTCGGTGTGATTTGAGTTCTTTAGCAGAGCATTTTTCACACAAAGCTTTTAATAAAATATCAGTTAACAAGTTCTCAGCTTCTTTTTGCAGAGAAAAACAACTTTTTACACGAAGGAACGGGTTTCAACTGTGAATTTTGGAGCTTCAACTAGACAGAGGTTTTTTCCCCATTGGTCGACCTGTTAGCTTAGCTTCTCAGCTTAGCTGCTTTTAACAATCCAAAAATGAAATTTTGGATAGTTTCATGGGGGCCGAGATGGTGTAGAGGCAGGGCATCCGGCTCAGGACCTGAAAGTCCCAGGTTCGATCCCCGGTCACCGCATACCCCGTGGTGTCTCTGGGCAGCACAACCTCTCCCTAAAATGCCCCCTGGATTCCTTCAATAACTGCCCACTGCACCACCTGGTGGTGGATGGTTTAAATGCAGAGAATAATTTCGCCATTGTATGGAAACATACAGTGATGACATCATTATTATTATTATTAAAATGAATTTTAAAGAGAAAAGAGGAAGGTAGGGGTCAGTGAAGAACAAAGTTGAGCGTCATCCATTGTCTTCAGTAGAAAGGGAGAGACATGAAGAAACGATAATGTCCATAAATGAAAACGAGGTCGATAATTTTCACTTATGCGATTCATTGATTAATTGATTTATTGTTTATCGCGACAGGCCTAGTGTGCAGGATGAATATGTACCCGTCTCCTGGGTCTTGTTGTACTCGGCCTCCAGACTGAAGTTTATGTATGTCTCACAGTTCCTCAGCAGCCATATGACACCACTGACCAACTGGACAAATGGGTTGGACTGGTCTAAAACGTCTTCCTGTGACAGATACCTGGAAGGACAAAAGAGAAACAACACATTAAGTCAATTTTTAGGACTCTAGACGTAGCTTTTGTTTTGAATATCATTTCAATAAAGAAATGATTTCAGCAACTCCATCACTGGATCTATAGACATATGGTCTAGTATAAACATTACTAATAATTGTTTGCGTTATATTTCAGATTAGTCAAACAAAACCTGGAGGGTCCATTTATTTTTCTGCTGCAACTCAAACTTACTCGAGTGTTTGGATCACAAGTGTTGCATCCTGTAGAAAGTCCTACATTTTCTGACCTAGTTATCAAACCTCTCTCTAGTTTATAAAAAAAGAAAAAAGCTTTCTTTATATGCGTATAAAATATAGCTTTATATCAGTCTAGTAATTAAGCGTTTTGTGTTTCAACTCAATTTTATTTGATTACAGTGGACATTAAATCAAAATAAGTTTATATTTAAAACATAACTATATTAATTGGTTATCCTCCTCCTGACATGTTAACAGTGAAAATGATAAACAACTGGTGCCACCGTGAGTCATGCACACATAAACCTTTCGCCTGAGGATTGTTTTTGAGTTGTTTGTTAAAGTGGACCAGAGGTTAGAGCCTCACAAACAGGAAGCAGCTCAGTTATGGCCGTGGTTGACTTCACACAAAATCTGCGAGGCTGCTGGCAGCCACAAACACGAGAAGAAAGGACATTTTAGAAATGTGATGTCAGGTGCAGACAAGCAGGGAGAGGAAAAGTGTTTGTGAAAAATACAGTTTCTGGCTGCTTAAAGATACAGCCCGACACTAATAACAGCTTTTATAAAGATGGCTTCTGTGGCTTTTAGGTTTACAAACAGGTTGTGGCAGCTTACCGTGGTTACCTCGTCTTTTTTCCTACATGATTTTTTTTTTATGACGGATATAAAAACAGAAGTCTTGTACAGTGCTCTTTTAAATATTAAGTTTAATACGGTTTAATACAGGGCGGCTGTGGATGAGTGGTTAGAGCAGTTGTCCTCCAGTGGGAGAGTTGGGGGTTTGATTCCATCAGCAGTCACATGCTGAAGTGTTCCTGAGCAAGACACTGAACCCCTCACTGCCTCCGATGTGTGTCCCATCCGTGTATGAATGTGATAAAGCTCTGATTAGTCTTTGTATGGATCTAGTAGAGTGCTGTATGAAAATGAGGGCACAGATTGTAGTGTAAAGTGCTTTGAGTATCTTGATCAGATTGAAAGGTGCTATTCAAGTACAGTCCATTTACAATTACTGTTATCTGACAGTACCAACAGTATTTGGTTGCACCTCAGCCTGATCTTTAAAGGCACAGCATATTTAAATCATTATAACAGAGTGCTAACATGAGAGCCCATTTATCCTCAAACTAGTCCCAGTGTTGGTTCAGTGTCAGAACCGAACTTAGAATCATTTATTCCGTTTAATCATTAATATACACACACACACGGTGGTATGTCACAAAAAACGTCTGAATCCACACTAAATGCTTCTTAAAAATCATTGCTTTTTAGTGTCAAATCTTCAAACTAAATGTCTTACCCAAACACTAGAGTGCCGTCCTTCCTGATTCCAAACTGTGCATTTTGCACCCCGCCACTGTCTCGAACCAGCCTGCCATCGCTAACCACGTTTCCCAGACACTCGCCTGAGTTTGTGTTGAAGAAGCCAGCATTTTGGGCGTAGAGACACCCAGCAGACTCAGCTGTTTCCTCCACAGACACTTTACGATTCATCCTGCAGCCATCTGGCCCTCCTGGTTCCAGCACAGACACCGTCCTCAGTGGGTCATGAACCACAGTCATGTGACCTGGAAACAGAGATGCCACAGGGTGAAATGAAGTCTTTTAGGCAACAAAACCCTGTACTCCCCCAATCCAAACCTACAATACAAAAATAAGAACTACTCATTAAAGTACTCTATTTATCAGTTTTTGTCTTGTCTAATCAAATCAGCAGAGTGACGCCTTATTCCTTAAATATGGAATCACAAACTATTAATCATTTTGACAACAGTTAAAGAAGGATCATTATTTCTGAAAAGCCACATTTAATGTCACTTTGAAGAAATTCACAGAGATGAAAGACTGAATGAAGAAACTGCAGACTGAACTTTTTAATAATCTGGTAAAAAAAAAAAAAAAAAATAAATCTGTACTTGCTCAATAAAATTATTGTATATTCCATGGGTCATGACCACGCACCATAAACCCATCTGGTCCCTCCATTGCCATCCTGCACATCTGTGACAAACACCTTGGACTCAGCAACTGGCTGTTCATCGTCACGGCTGGACAGCAGACTCTCATGGGTGCTGTTGCCATAAATGGCGGGCTGACAATCTCTAACGTAGCGGTGGGAGTGGGAAGGGCCGTGTCCGTGGGTATATGGTCGGAGGACGTCATCGTTTGTAGAATGTCTGCAAAGAGGCACAGTGGTATTTTATTACAGCTGAGGAAAACCTCAAAAGCAGCAAGAAGAAATGTCAAAACAACAAGCACGGCCAAGCTTGATCAGGTTGTTTTACTACAGCCATCCATCACTGCTCAGTCATCTTCAGACTCGCAGGAGGCCGGCAACCCCTCTCCAGCGGTCAAAAGGTGAGAGCCAGGGCACATGCTGGACAGGTCACCAGTTCATCATGTCATTGCAGAGAAACACAACACCAACAATTCACTCTCACGCCCCCCCCGAAAGGCAACTTAGAATCCCCAAATAACCTAACATGCATGCTTTTAGACTGGGGGAGGAAACTGGAGTACTCAGAGAAAATTCACCAATGCAAGGGGAGAACATGCAAACTCCACAGAAAATCCCCAGCTGAGATTTAAACCTGTGACCTTCTTACTGTGTGGCCACAGACAAAAAAAAAAAAAAAGACCAGTTAGCTTTAACTACTGTGACGGCTTCTGAACAGCTGGTTAAACAAAACCAGACTTGGAGCTGCACTCTCAATTTTTAAACCATTTTATATTGAAGTAGTAACAACCAAACAAAGAATGTGCAGATAACTAAAGAAATGACATTGCAATGCTGAGAGCCAAAAACGTAGCTAATGAAATAATAAAGTCGAAACAAAAGAACAAATGCTAAATTTAGCAAGACAAAAGCTCAAACCTGCAAAGCAGTAACGCTAAGCCCAATCTAGCAAGTAGAACAAGAAAACAGTAGCTAAAAGCAACGACTAGAAAATACCTCAAAGCTAACAATCACTAAAAGTTAAAACCAGCAGAACAGCAGCTAAAGCTATAATCAAAAGAAGCTAAAAGCTAAATTTATCCAAACAGAAGCCAAATGTTAACACATGCTAAATAGCTAAACGCTAAAAATGAAGTACAGTACCCTATACTGGAGTAGATTTAAAAGAACACAAAGTTTTTTTTTAAGGATTTGAAACGTTCTCACTTCATTTTAATGGAAAAAATAAATAAAGATTGGCATATGAAGAACCAAGTCATAGTTGTAAAGAATAAAAAGAGCGAAACATTTTGATAAACAAAAGGTTAGAACAATGCAAACAGTTCAAAAATGTATAGAAGCAACTATAAAGAAAACCATTGTGTAAATGCTCAGAATTACATTACAATACAGAAAAACATTCAAATTAAAATCCCTCCTTTAACAAACACATATATGACCCACAATGTTTTTTTGTTTTTTTTTACATGTAACTGATTTTATGGACTTGCTACAAGAAGAAAACTGGAACCTCTGTGGTCCCCCATTGGACTTACCATGAATAATGATCAGATTGATGTTTATATGAGCCTCTTTATCCTAAAAATAACTGCTGGGTATGTTTGTTTTGATTGTGGCTGATAACAGAGACATAGAGCAGAAGTTGAGATGAAATCTATCCCGTCAAACGAAGGAATGTGTTAAAAATAAGTTTGTAGAGAACACCATCCGGTACCTTTAACCAGACGGTACTGAAATATTAAAAGCAGTGACGTGTTGGGAAAAGTGCAAAATTCTTGTGTGGATTTAAAATTCAGACAATTGACAAACCTGTACAGAATGATTTAATCTGATCCAAAAACAAGTAAAGAGCAGAATACTTAAAGGTGCTGGCTGAGCGGTTAGAGCAGTCGTCCTCTAATGGGAGAGCTGGGGGGTCAATTCCGCCAGCCGTCACATGCTGAAGTGTCCCTGAGCAAGACACTGAACCCTTCATTGCCTCTGATGTGTGTCCCATTGTTGTATCAGAGTCAGAGAGTCAGAGTCAGAGTTTCTTTATTGTCATTGTCATGTATGAATGTGATCTAAAAGCACTGACAAGTCTTTGTACAGATATAGTAGAGTGCTGTATGAATGGGTAAATTAGGGCACATATGGTAGTGTAAAGAGCTTTGAGTACCATGACAAGATAAAAAGGTGCTATAAAAGTAGAGCCCATTTACCATTTAGTACTAACACTATTTAAAAATATGCATTCAATGCATTTAAAACAACTACAATTAAATTTCTTACCTCTTAAATGGATGGAAGTAGAAGATAAATTTGATTAAATGTTCAAAAAACAATTGTAGTCTGGCTTTCTGTTTCAATATTTTAAAGGTCTGAGTATGTAATTTTAAAATGATTTTTGATACAACACTGCCATCTAGTGTCTAAAACCCCAAACTGAAGACACAAACTCGCATGCCATTTATTTTCTGACAAAATCGAAGGTGAATACTATTTACAGTAGTTTAAAACTTTAATAAGCCTTAAAAAAATCAAACATTTACGTTGTAATGTTGTGCATATGTAATAGTATTTTTCGGTTACTCGTTTTTAAGTTGTAAACTTCAAAAATGTTGATAAGAGCTAGTTAGAAAATTAGCAGCTGTTGCTCAACAACTGGAAAGTAATGTTAGCTTTGGTTTGAGCAGCAGTAACGTTTTTTATTTATTATTTATTCAGAAAACACCGCGGTGTTAGCTTGGGTCAACAAAAGTGTCCACTGCGATAAAAAAAGCGGAACTAAATAATTCTTACTTAGCAAATAGAAAGAAAAAAGAAACTAACCGGGGCTATAAAATTAGCCGTTAGCTCAAACGGAACCTTCGTGCCGTCTTACCGGGTACTTTCGGTCTCGGACGCCCCGACACAGAGCCACAACAGCAGCCACAGATACGCACATTTCACCGCGTCTGCTGCCATATGGAGTAGCCAAGTAACCTGTCAAACTCCACTCTCCAGTTGAACTCCACATCTTCCTGGTAGAGCTTATCGCTGCAAACGTGTTACGTGCAAAGTCAACGCTGCGGGGGGCACTTCCTTTTCGATTTCAAAGTAAAAGCCTCACGGGTAGGTTGCAGTATTATCAGTTTATAAATACATAAACAAAGTTCAAGATCAATATTGAATATACTGATGCTCATATTGTTAAAAGTGGTAGGTCAGACATGAAATTGAAATGCTTTGCTGTGTGGATTTGTTTTAGTTTGGCGCGATTATTTACATATTTAAATGCACTTGAATCAACAATAAACGATGTGCAGTGACTTTTAACTTTGGTATTTGACAATAGTTTTTAGTTATTAAAAAAATAGCACTCTAAAGGTTAAAAAATACAGTTTAGCAAATTCCTAATTTTATTTTGGTAGCAATATGGTTACATTTATTTTGGGGTGTCGTCACTCTAAAGCACGTGGGTTTTGTTTGTTTTGGTACGCTTTAACACAAGTTTTGCTTTTCACATTTTGTGTGCGTAATGTATATTTTGACAACTTTCTAAAAATATAGACAAAAGTTTTTTTTCTTTATAAATTTAAGATCACTTTTTGTGCCGGATAGTCGAAGGAGGAAGTATTTAATGTAACACAGGCAAGCGCTTCCGCTGCGTTTGTATACATTTTGAAAATTAGTTTTTCGGGCGCCTGCGTAGAAATACAGAACAACCGATGCATTTTTTGAAGATTGTATTTCGAAAATTTAGCAACACATAGTCTATTTTGTTGTTAAGTGAGTATAACGTCTGTCTACAGACTTTTTATTTATTTATTTTTTTTTAGAAAAACACAAGGAAAACGCAACGCTGTGGTAGAAAACTGTTAAGTTTGGAAACTGGTATCCTCATCTCCGAGGGACCGCGAAGGCAGCACAAATTGAAGGGTAACATGGCAGCTTCTCTCTGTGCTAAACATGGATTATTAAGCAGTACAACCTTTCGGATTTACAGTCTTCGTAGAAAAATAGCACCAAAGGGTGTTTGTATTCAAAGAGCAGCTGAAATACAAAGTGTAAGAGCGTCTACAAATGCAACTGTAGTTCCTCAACACAGTGAAAAGTACTGTCTGGATTTGGTGAGGTAGGTTGGTCAGACTGGTGGTCTCGCATTTGAAAAAGGTTATATTTTTAAATAATGGCAGCATATTTTCAGTAAATTCCTCCTTGCTGTGCAATAATGTAAATATATATCAGTGTTTTTTATTCATTCAACCTTTATTTATGCAGGCTAGTCTTATTGAGTCACGAGGACTTTCCAAGAAACCTGTTTTAGACAGACAACATAAAGTACAGACAATAATTCAACAAAAAAACAATTAAAATCAAATAAAATAAGTTTTAGAAAAACGTGCACTGTTTACGTCAGACTCCATTCAGATGTCTTGCTTAAAATATGATAACACAGTATTATTGTTTTAGAAGTGTAAGATTTAACAATGTTTTCATTTTAACATTTCAAGTTCTCTTGCTAGTGAGTCATTCCCAATAAAACTATAAAGTTTTGTTTGAATGATATAACAACTTTATTTGCACATTCCTGGTCTGTTTTGACACAAAAATAGACTAGTTTTAATGTTTGGCCTCTCTTTACCCAAGTATTTGTAGGAATCGACAAACTCAATAGGAACAAGATAAAATAGAAGACTGCTGGGACCAACTTCCTGTTTGAAAACAACATCCCTTTGGTTTAGTTGGCGTTTAGTACAAGTTTGAGATGGATCAAATCTGACTGGAGGATGTTAAAAGCAGATTGCAAAAGCTGGAAAACCTTAGCAACTCTTTTAGCTCGACAATAAACAACTGTCATCAGCGTAAAAATGTAAGGAGGCTTCAGGGACGATCTGACCTACATTACATATGTAGATTGTGAAGAGGGTGTGTCCTAAGATTGAGCCTTGTGGTACACCATTGTTAACAGTTAAATAACTGGAGGAAGTACCATTTTGTTAAACACACTGCCTCTGATGTGAGAGATAGTTAGAGAACCAACCAACAGTGTGATCTGAGAAACAAATTTCTGAGAGCTTATGATACAAGATGTTATGATCCACAGTGTCAAAAGTTTTAGACAGGTCTAAGAAAAGTGCAGCACAATAATCCTTAGCATCCATTGCTTCAACGACATCATTAAAAACTTTCTGCGAACCCGTCATTGTGCAGATTGATGGGGAGGTAAGATGTTAAATGAGTCCAAATACTTTTTGATTTGAGAGTTTATCAGTTTTTCTAGAACAGGGGTCTGCAACCTTTACAATCAAAAGAGCCATTTCTGCCCTTTCGTTCACTAAATTAAACGTGTCCAGAGCCATAAAATCTGCTACAATTGTCATTATCAACTGGTGGCCCATGGACCACTTTATGTTTGTTAGAGAGGGCTTTTCTGGCCAGTAGGTGTGAAATTATAGAACTAAAAACATCCAATGATTTTTAACATTTATTGACATTTTTACATTTTAAGACAAAAAAAAAGACTGGATTCCATCCATCCATCCACGCATGCATGGTCTTTACCTGTTTCTTCCTTTTTGAATTGCAGTGGGTCACTGGTGTCCCGTGTCCAAATTGCAAGTCTATCAAAGTAGACTGGATTCTTGTAAAGAAAAAAAATATATTTTGCTCTTTTTTCTTTTTTTTTTTTACTAAAGCAACAAACTGTGCAGGCGTATGCAATTTTTTTTATTTATTTTTTCAAATTGTGGAGTAATTGATAAGATAGAACTTTATTGATCCTACAGGAAATTGTATTTATTATCATCTTACTTTGAAGAAATAAAGTTAGAGTATAATTTACTCATGTGTATTAGTACTAGTATCCACATATATGCAAAGGAAATGACAGGAAAACTGCTAAAACTAGTGATTTTTTTTTAAACATAAAATTCAGTTTTGTGTTGGTTTTGGTCAAAGCTTGAAAGAGCTGCTGTGGAGGGACCAAAGAGCCACATGTGGCTCCAGAGCCATAGGTTGCAGACCCCTGTTCTAGAACCTAGAATCTAGAATGACCTCTTTCCTCCATACTACACCGGTTTCTCTGTCCTCCCCAGGTCCAGAGACTATGATGGCTTCATGTCGTGTCTCCTCCTCCCGGTGGAAGCCCGGCGCTCTTCTCTGGCTCTGAGAGCCTTTAATGTGGAGTTGGCACAGGCAGGTATTTCTACATCTGGTTCAATGAGAAACTATTTCTCAGAATCTGCTGACATGGCTCTGTTGCTCTCACCATCATTGCTCTTGTTACTGCAGTCTGTTTTAACAAGTCTAAAATAATAGATATCAGGTCACTAGTTTGTCTAACATTACATTCCCTATATTTGTTTTTGGACAAGGTGAAGGACTCTGTTTCCCAGAAGACTATTGGTTTGATGCGGATGGAGTTCTGGAAAACAGCCATAGAGGAGATCTACAGAGACGATCCTCCAAACCAACCAGTCAGCACGGAGCTGTGGAGGGTAAATGCCACTATACAGACTTTCAAATTAGCGCCTGATAGATTTAGGACCAGTTAACACAAATCAGCAAATGTTTAGATGCATGCTCAAATCACAAATCAGTAAAGTTTTCTCATTCAAGAACAAGATTCATTGTTTTTTATTTTGTCCCACAGGCAGTGAGGACACACAGCTTAACAAAGAAGTGGCTGCTTAGGATTGTTTCAGAAAGAGTAAGACACAAAGTTTAGAAGAAAAAAAAATCTATCATTTTTTAAAATTATTATTTCTTTTTAGTAAACGCATTTCTACAACTTGTAGTCTTTGTTAATGGAGTTTACATTTGAACAAACATGGGGGAAAACACAGGGCAACGTATAGTAGATTATGAAATCTTCAGGCCATCAAACTCTGCTTTTAGTGGATTCATCTGCAACAGTTCAGGCTCTCTTCATTAGACATTAAAGAAGCATCCATCTAAGGTTTAGTCTGGCACAACTCACTGTGGTGTACCAGACTCCATCAGGACATCGTAGTCAGTTGGAGCAATAGGTTTTTCAAAACATATTCAAAAGAGAATTGAGTCTTTCAACTTCTTTATCGCAAAATATTGTAAAAAAAAAAAAAAAATCTGATCATATTGGGAAATCTCAGTGCATAAAGGAAAGGGATTAAACAAGTGATAAACTTGCTCTCCCTTTGAGCTCTCGTGGTCCTGCATATCAAAACCCTAAGCCTCTGTGAACACTGTTGTCTGATGTGAATATTTTTCTAAACCAGTGTTGGTCAACACAGACTTTTGATTCATTTGGAAGTGTACCCTGAATGTTAATATATTCAGCAATGAAAAGCCACATATCAGCGCTGATAAGAAATGACATGGAGTTCTGGAGGCACCAGCTTATCTCAGATGGACTGAAGGACAGTGGACACGTCCTCTGTGGTCAGATCGGTTTCAGCTTTCTTTAAACACAAAAACAGACATGAGGTTCTGGCACATATCACAAAGACCACCCAGCTGGTTTTCTATAAAAGGTTAAGTTGGCATCTCTTGTGCTGTGGGAGTTCATCAGCGCTCATAGAGTGGGTGACTTGCAGAAGACCAAACGTATCACTGATGTCGTGTATAATACAGTTTTACAATATTCAACCATCAAGGCAACACACTTTCCCGATAGTACTGCAGTTACAGTAGTCTTTCGCTACTTCACGGTTCATTTTTCGCGGACTCGCTCTATCGCGGTTTTTCAAAATAGGATTGGACATAACACACAGTTGGCTGATTGATGGATGAGCCGCGTGATCGGCATGGAATATTTATTTGAAATAAATTATTTAGCACCTGTGTGCAGCCCACAGCTGCAGAAAAAGCTTCCCCCTGCAACACGCCATGATCTCCGCTCTGCAGTGGAGAAATGGGCGTGGCCAAGAGCACTGGCAGGTGGCAGAGAAATGAAATCATGACATGCTGTGCTCTTTTAGAGCGTTTAGAGTTTAGAAAAATCGTTTAGCATATTGCAAGAGTGTGGGAAGGGTTTAAAACACCTTAAAAAATATGAACTACTACTACTTGTACAAATATTCCTACTTAGCGTTTTTTCACTAAGGGTACGGATCCCCCGCGATAAACGAGGGACTACCGTATTCCTGTATAATACCAGACCTTGTTCTGTACAGCGTCCAGCAGCGAGGCTTCACCTGCCTGAAGTCCAGAATGATAAGAATTGTTTGTATCATTCTAAAAGCGTTTGGCACATCACATAGAGGAAAATCAAACTTTAATTTGAATTTTGAGCAGCTCAAATGTTGTCGTTCGTCAAAATGAAAACAGGGTTTTGTTGGGGGAAAAAGTGCACAATTAAAATCCCCATTTTCCAAAAAATAAATGCCATCAAAATGATTGGTAACATCAAACAATGATAAACGTATTTCTCTTCCAGCTTTAAACTCTAGATTTGTTTCCGTTTTCTAAATACAATGGAGGCGGACGGTAAAAATCTCATTTTCAAACAAAAATAGAAAGTAGAAGTTTAAATTTTTCTTTTTTTTTAGATTTAATGAAAAAAATCCTAAACATTTCTGTAAATGGGGTTTTGAATTTTATGATAAATTCACACAGATAATTAAATGCATTATTTATATACCTTCCTTAGATCTGATTGAAAAAAACGTTTTCTTTGCATTTCACAAACTGTATTTACAGCCTGGGACAATTGCATCAGTACAGAGTGATATCATGTAAACAATAGCTGAAGTTGTTAAAAGAAAAACCAGGCCTTCTCTCTTTGTTTCACCAGGAAACGGATCTGAACGACAGAGCCTACAGGAACATTCAGGAACTGGAAACATATTCTGAGAACACCCAGTCCTCTTTATTGTACCTGCTGCTGGAGTGTTTAGGTAAGAACAGATGATGCTGTTCTAGATGACACATTTAACATTATGAACTAGAGATTTCACAAGCTAATCCTAAAGGGGGATCCTTTATTAAAACACTTTATGGTTCTGGGTATAATATATATTCTTTATTCCTCACACAACATTCTTCAGTTAGATAACGTTCTAAAAACAGGACTTTTGTTTAAGTTGAGAGTTGTTTAGCATTTTATTTTTCAATGCAAATTCAAACGAGTCCATTCACAGAATGAGATAAGCACGTGAGAGTTCGTATTCTGCGTTTGCAGGAGTGAAAAACGTCCACGCAGATCACGCAGCGAGCCACATCGGTAAAGCTCAGGGAATCGTAATGTGTCTGAGAGCGATCCCTTTCCACAGCAGCCGGCGGAAAGTTTACCTGCCCATGGACATCTGCATGCTGGTGAGTCGAGATGCCACAAACGGCGTTCAGTTCAAACCCGTTTCGCTTTGTGACTTGTTCAAATTTGTTGAAGCCATTTGCAAAGAAAAAACTGCTGAGGATGATCATGAGCTGATTAAACTCCAAATGAGTCTAAATGAATAACATATAAAAACATCAGGTGAAGGATATGTCTTTACCAAGGTGTGCTATTAGAAAATATGAAGTTAGAACAAAATTCTTTGTTAAATCAGGACATTTTTAATTTAAACAAACCCTTAAACTCAAACACGTTTTTGAAGTAATGTAATTTATCCACTGTGTGACGAGCTTTTTGTCCTCGCGGTGGGAAACAGATCAGATATTTCATGCAAAGCAACTTTAAAACAATGACTCTTTGTTCAAGCAAGAATCATTTCACAGAAAAAAAAAATCTGTAGGAAACTAATTCGTTGCCTAGTTTTATCCCCAAATTAAAGAAAGCCATCCCAAAGTGCTGCCAAGTATATTTTAAAAAGGACCGATGTGCAGAACTTTGGTGAACAAGCACTTTCACGTTACATGAAAATGAAGTTTGCAAGCGTTTACAAGTCTGAAATAGTTTAAATAGTTTTTGAGCTAAATTGCAGTGAAGAGGATTTGTTCTTTTAAAAGAAGCGATCATCATCCCTTTAAAAAATACAGATTAGTTTATTAAGATCTGTTAACACATATAATTTTCCATCTTTTGTTTGGTTAATCTGCAAAATACAGTTCTCTATTAATCAAGTTTATTTTTTCTTTTTAGACTCTTAAAGAAAAAGAAAAAAACACAATTGCTATAATTTCCAGACTATAGAGTGCACCTGAATTTAAGTCGTGCACACTAAAAAAAAAAAAAAATTAAATACAATTTTGTACATATATAAGCCATTATTGTGTACAAGCGGCGGGTGCTCACGTTGTAACATGAGATATTTACGCAGAAATATATTGTATAAGCCGAGGGGTTCAAAGTCTGTGAAAACAGTTGTGGCTTATAGACCAGAAATTATGGTAGTTATTCTCAGTATCCAAACTTGTAATATGTTTTAGACCCTACAAGTCCTAATTTTATAGTTCTGTATACCAATGGTCATCTCATCTCAGTTCTTAAGATTTGCCCGTTTCTTAAACTTTTTTGGCAGCTCAAATTTTTAAGAGTTCACTTTCTAGATGAAGATACAACCTGCAGCATCAAATAACCTTCAGAGGCCTTCTCAGCAACAAGAGGCCTTTCCACCACAGTACTTTTTAATACAAGTCGTTCCATAATGTTTTACATCTCCAAGGATGCAGTTTCGACCACCATCTTCCTCATAGAGTGAGTGTGGATTGTGTATTGCTCAGGATATTTAGTTATATTTACACCAAAACATCTCACTTGTGAGCCAGGCAAACAAAGACCCTAACAACTCTTTACTGTGAGGTGCATGTAGTTTTTGTCTAATCTGCACGTGACTCTAGGGACATAACGAGGTCTCTCATGCAGTTATAAAAAACTTGGAGTTCTACACTTCCTAGACATTTGTTCAAAGTTGTTGAAGCCTCCAGAACGGGAAGTGAACTATCTTCAGCTACAGAACAGAAATCTGGTTGTTTTATATTTTAACCTAGTTTTTTTAAAATTACGAATCAAACTACTTTATCCTGATCTATTTTTTTCTAATAGGGAGGAGTCAAAGCTCGGTACTGTTCAGTAGTAGTCTCTCGCTACTTTGTGGTTTGTTTATAGCAGACTCGCTCTATCACAGTTTTTCAAAATAAGATTGGACATGACACACAATTGGCTGATTGATGGATGAGCTGCACGATTTGCATGAAATTTTTATTTAAAATAAATTATTTTCAATTATTTAGCACCATTTGTGCAGCCCAGAACTGCAGAAAAAGCTTCCTCCTGCAGCTGATCAGCTGTTCTCCATGCCGAGCGGAGAAATGGGTGTGGCCAAGAACACTTTCAGATGGCAAAGAGCTGATGAGGCAGGGAGCTGAAATCATGACATTCTGTGCTCTTTTACAGCATTTAGAAGAGCGTGGGAAGAGTTTAAAACACCTTAATATATATATATATATACACTGTGTATATATATATATATATACACTGTGTATATATATATATATATACACTGTGTATATATATATACACCGGTAAACACTAAAATAAACTACTACTTGTACTTCTACTCCAACTTTGCGGTTTTGCACTTAATGCGGAGCTTCAGGGTACGGATCTGCCGCAATAAACGAAGGATTATTGTAATGCAGTTATCCCAACCCTGGTCCTTGAGGAACACCATACTGCATCCAACAATTTTCCGTCAGGTCATCTGGACAGTTTCTTTTTCTTTTCTTTTTTTGTGCTGAAACGTTTCACCTTCCATCCAGAAGGCTTCATCACCATACTGCATGTTTTAGTTGTTTCCTGCTCTAGCACACCTGATTCAGTGATTTTATTTCTTCCTCATGTCCTGCAGAAGCCTTCTAATCACCCGTTAATTAAAATCAGGTGTGTCGGAGCAGAGAAACCACTAAAACAAGCAAGATGGTGTTCCTCAAGGACCAGGGTTGGGAACCCTTGCTGTAATGGATAAATGTTTTTTATGCATCTTTGAACATGTCTTAAAAGATCTAAAAGCCTTGCTTCCACTTCGTTTGTTCACAAGAATGCCGAAGCTGCGCCACGCACAGCCTCAAACATTGATTCATGGCACCAGTTTGACACAATGTCAGATGGCATGCTTGTAGAAACTGTAAGAAAATTCTCAACCTGCACAAACCAACAACAAACAAGTAGGGGAACTGTTACACCGCAATTGTCTGTCAAACATCAGCTCATTCAATTGAAATCCTTTAGATTAATTTTTCCACAAACATTTCCAGCCTGGTCTTGGCCATCTGCCATGCATGGAGACCAACTGCTGCTTCTGCAGGAGCTGATGAGGGTGAACATAGGATGTAGATGTATTAAGGCTGAGTGAAGCGTGCAAGCTCTGCCCTCTCACAGAGGAGGCTCCTGTGACTCCAGGATATCCACCTCACATCACCTCCTCTTTGCTTCCTGAAGAGGGCACTGGAGATGTACAGAAACACCCTGCTCTCAAACACACAACCCTTTAGATCAAGTTTTCCACTTACTTTTCCCACTTAAGCCATAAAGTAAAACAAAATGAACTGTAATGTTTTGTAAAAAACAAAATATTGTATCCATGATATTGAAGACAGACATATTTTACAGTAATAGTGGACAGCAGTGGCTGAGGAGGAAATGAAAAAGAGATTTACATATATTAAATTTTAGTTTCCTGACTATTTATTTATTTATTTATTTATTTATTATCATATATAATTAAATTAGCACAAACCTTTTTTTTTCCAGACTAACGTTTTTTTCTTGGTAGGATTTGATGTCAGAGATTATTATTCTGATGGCATAACATTACATTTTCACTGGCAATCTACTTTTTGTTTAGAGGAGCTAATTTTATTTTACATAGAATTAATACTAAGGTTACCTTAGTCCATCCGTCCGTCCGTCTTTCTTTCCATCTATCCATCTATCCATCTATCCATCTATCCATCCATCTATCTATCTATCTATCTATCTATCTATCTATCTATCTATCTATCTATCTATCCATCCATCCATCCATCCATCCATCCATCCATCCATCCATCCATC